TCGGGCAGTCAGGACTTTCCAAAAAAAGGACAGTTAAGAGCTGAGGTAATGAGGGAAGAATGCCAGGAAGTGAGAGTTGGGAATAAAAAGTAGCAGGGGGTTTGATCAGGTGCTTTTGTGTGAAGATCCCGGGGAGAAGACGTACTCCAGAATACCTGACTTCCTCTACAGTGTGAATAAGACTAAAAACTAACAAGGTGATCCTGTCTCCTGTCCTCTCAATCATATTTCAATAATATTGTTCAATAAATGATTCTTGGCACTGCAGTAATTTTTTCTGCATTGATTCTACCAACGACAATAGGAAGGGCTGACTGCCTGACTTCTCCCAGAGTTCACCAGCACACACTAATTTTTAGAGAACAATGGTCAATGCCTGCTACTATAAACCATTCTATTTTATCCCATATTACATGTTAATTAAAGGCATTAACTGTTAACTATATTCTGTTTGTTTTATCCATTACACATTATATCTGCCTCTGAAGATGCACTCTCTCATGAAGGCATAGGCTGCAAGATTGTCAGCAAGGCACAATATAATATCTCAACACTTAGAGGTAAAACAGAATTGTTTATATGATCTACATAAGCTGCAAATTGTTAAATAATTTAACTATGACAATAATTGAGGATGATAGGGTGTCAATTCCATGGTTATTTAATAGGCTAGATTTGGCCATGACATCAGTAAATTTACAGTTAAAGCATTTAAAGTTAAATTGATTTTAACCAATAATTAGAGATGCACCAATTGAATTTTTTTGTAATTGGCAGAAAACAAACATTTTTTAAAATTCTCTAATGACAGTTTTATATCATTAAAAATGTTGCTTTACATATAACCAAATGTCTAACTAAAAATGAAGTGTAATATTTGTGCTTTTCCAAAAGTAACCAAGTGCCAGAGGTAATAGAAACAGAACAATGTTTGTTACATCAATCCCACTGAATGTGCAATTTTTTTTAAAGTGTGTGTGGTTTTTGCTGTGTTATACCAATGGTTTGGATTTGCTATACATATATTGTCACAAGAATAAGTATTGGCACAGTTTGAAATTTCCTGGTTTTCTGCTTAAATTTGACGTTAAATGTGATCTGATCTTTACCAAAGTTACAAATTTACACCCATTAAACATACAAAGTGATTGTGGAAAAAGTAAAGACAACGCCAGGCTTCTGATGTCATTAAACATCAACTGGAGTCGAGTGTTAGCAAAACTGGAGTCCAGTCAATGAAATGAGAATGGAGGTGTGGTTTAGAATGACCTTGACTTACAGAAACATTCAAACATTGTCAGTGAGGTAGAAAAGAACCCTTGAGTAACAGCTGAAGACTTGAAGGATTCATCTTTGTTCATAAGTCAGCCATATGCAAAATATTGAACAGCCACGGTATTCAAGGCAGGACACCATGGAGGAAGCCATTGCTCTCCAAAAACAACAATGCAGCAGGCCTGAGGTTTGCCAAAGACCACCTTGACACTCCACAGTACTACTGGGAAAATGTCCTGTGGACAGATGAGATGAAGGTGGAATTTTTTGGGAAGAACACATGGCACTATGTATGGCGCAAAAGGAGAACCACGTACCAGCGTGAAAACATCATCCCAACAGTGAAGTACGGTGGAGAGAGCATCATGATGTGGGGCTGCTTTGCTGCCTCTGGACTGGCTTGCCATTGTGGAGGGAAAATGAGTTCCCAAGTTTATCAAGGTATCCTACAGGATAGTGTCAGGTTGGCTGTTGGCAAGCTGAAGCTCAGAGTAAGCTGGGGGACGCAGCAGGACAATGACTTTAAACATCAGAGAAAAGTTATTGCATTTGGATGTTACTTGTATTATTTATTATACTAGACAGCAGTCCTTGTGCAACAGGCGTCTCCTGTAGTCGTGATAAGCTCTAACATATCACATTCCCATTACAAGTGCACTCATCGGTGTTCCCCTGATCCAAAGGTCAACCCAGAAGTGAAATTGAATAGTGTTGCATTTATTTTATGGCCTTAGCTTTGTTATATTACAATATCCTACATCATAGAACTATGTAACTTTTATGATGTATTGTCTTATTATATTCTCAATGTACAATATTTATTATGTGGCACATTAACTAATTATGAGTAATATTTACTTTGTTTATATTATCTGCAATATTTTAAACTGCTTCTTAACTCAGCTGAATGTGAATAGATGTAAGAGTGCAATGTAACATGTTTTTAGGTTTTGTGTAAACTTGCATACACGTGCATTTACAGAATTTTTCTGTTCTATTTTATTCTTTTCTTGTGAATGAGGCCAACAGACTGGTTTCTGTGGTGATGACATCAGTAAGTTGTGCATGCATGTCAGAGCTAGAAAGGGCCCAGACTGAATGAGCTTCATGAGGACATGATCATGAAAAGGTGTTTCTGTTGCTGAAACTGAGTGAATCACACATACAAAAAACCTCTTTATTGGCAAAGTGAAAACAGGTTTTTACAAAGTAATATCAAAAAAATATGTAATGGGAAATAAGTGATTGCATAAATATTAACCCCCTTTAAAATGACTGACCTAATTCAACAGAGGTCCAGCCAATTGGTGCTAGTAGTCTCACAATTAGTGAAATAGGGATCAACTGAGTGCAGTGAATGTGTCAAGTGATTGTAGTATAAAGACACGTGTGCCTGGAAGGTCCAGTCACTGGTGAATCAGTATTCCAGGCTACCATTACACCATGAAGACAAAAAGAACACCCCAAGCAACTCAGAGAAAAGTACTAGTCAGGGAATGAATACAAAAACATTCCCAACACACTGAACAGCCCCCGGAGTTAAATCCATCATCAAACAATGAAAGGAATACGGCACATGACTTAATCTGCCTAGATCAGGTCATCCTCACAAATTGAGTGACCGTGCAAGGAGACTAGTGAGAGAGGCCACCAAGACACCTATGACTATTCCGAAGGAGTTACAAGCTTCAGCAGCTGAGATGGGAGAGACTCTGCATATAACAACTGTTGCTTGGGTTCTTCACCAGTCAAAGCTTTATGGGATAGTGGCAATGAGAAAGATGCCTGTGCAGATTCTCAGTCATCCAGGTCATAGTAAACTGAAAAAACCTTAGAAAAAATCAACTGGACTTAGATTTCTAGATCGAAGACTTTTCACCTCTCATCCAAGAGGCTTCATCAGTTCTGACTGACTGGTGTTGAGCCAGAGATATTTATCCCCGTCGGTGGTGTTTCAGTCCTTTGAAGGCCAACAATGTCCCCTAATGACTGAGTCTTTGTAGCCCAGTATCGGTGAGAGTCGATCAGTGATGTTCTCAGAAGAGGATCTGGACTTCACTGTCCTCTCAAGAGTGTCCATACACCACATCACTCTGTTTATGTCTGGGTGTTTTGTCCTTCGGGTGGACCAGTCTCTGCCGCAGGGTGTTCCCTGATTTAAAGTTAACTGGGATATTATGGTTGTAAAATATCCTTTTTAACTTCTCTGATAAACCAGCCACATAAGGGATGACAGTGTTATCCCCTCTTGTTTCTGGTTTCTCCCTGTTGGTGTTGGGCCTCTTCCTTGCTTTGGTGAAGGCCCACTTAGGGTATCCACAAGCCCTAAGGGAGTTCTGGATGTGTAGTTCCTCATTCTTGGCCCCTTCTGCAGTTGTGGGCACTTCCTCTGCCCTGTGATTTAGAGTTCTGATGACTCCCAGTTTGTGTTGAAGTGGATGGTGCCAGTCAAAAAGTAGGTATTGGTCCGTATGTGTAGGTTTCCGGTATACTTCTACCGTCAGGCTTCTGTCCCTTCCCAAGTGGACTGTACAGTCCATAAAGGCAGAAAACTGACTAACTGAAGATTTGCCTTGGGACTTGTAAATAGGCCCCTGACAGTGATGGGAAAGTTTAAATATTCATCGGCTCAGATGATCTTTGGATAATAGGAAATGCTATGCACAGAGACCAGTGAAATCACTGGAAAACAGTTAAGAGGCAGAGTGTTTATCAGCAAAAAAGGCTGGCAGTTGTTTTACTGCCTGAGCTTTAGAAAGGATAATCACCTTTAGTGGCCAAGTATGTTACATACAAGGAATTTGTTTCTGGTACAGAACCGAGGAAGCCATCTGCGGTGCCCTCTCAACCGATGGCAACTTGGGGTTTCAGTGTCTTGCCCAAAGACACTTCGACTGTAGGCACCGAGATTCGAACCTCCAACCGGGAGATGAATGCTCTACCTACTGAGCAACAGTCACCCCCAAAGGCCAGTAGGTTTAGTTGTACACCCTCTGGTTCAACCTGCTAGTGCAGAGAAGGGATCTCAACTGGTCAGCAGACTGCCCCAATTATCATAATGAATACGGGTTTTGGTGACCTCTTGACCTTCCCTTTACTGAAAACTACAGGCCACATTATAGATTTGTACTCAGACTGTATAAAAATCTAATGTGCAAACAGCTGTTAGCTGATGTATGCTACAGAATGGCAGCCACAGGATTTCACAGAATAAATTTAGCCGTCCCCTGGTAGGCTAGTGGTTAAGGCTCGGCGCTCTTGCCGTGGCACCCTGAGTTCAAATCCAGCTTGCGTCAGGAAGGGTATCTGGCGTAAAACGTGCCAAATGTCAACATGCGAATCGTCAGTGTGACGATTTGCTGTGGCGACCCCTAAGCCGAGAGTGACTTTCTGTTAATAAAAATCGTATATACAACATGGCTACTTAGGTAACATCTGAGCAAACTGTGGTTGAAAGCTCCAGAAAAAAAATTATAATTTGCAGGTCTAAATTTTAGCCAAACACCCCTGCAGACAGGTTTCACAGCACAGTAGAATATTTGGTCTGAATTCTATTTCACAAATGTTCACCATACTGTTATTTTATTTATTTTTTTAATTGCATTGTGTCACCTTTAATTTGACATACATAAATATGTTGGAACATTTTTAGAGGACAACAAACTAGAACAATCAATGCATGCAAGTACTTTCACTTCCTGAAGACAAAGACAACTACTTTGTGATTTTACAGTTGACAACCTTTATTAAGTGAGGGGAAAATCTCAAAAAGCAGCAAATTGGTAAAGTGCAGGTCTTTGCTCTCACTCAGCAACACACAGTCTATCGCTTTATCTTAGAGCATGGCCCAATCAACCAAGACTTTCACACAATGGACAAATCCAGGCACAATTACTGTGGTATTGTTCCCAATTAAGAGGGAAATAACCGAATTACATTATATACAGATTTTAGAAAGCAACAGTTCAATTTCATTTCAAAAGGGAGGGCTGTTGGTGGATTGGGCCACTCTTATATACCCATCATATGCAGTTGAGTGTCACACCTCTTCCATTTGAAGTAAAATCATATGCGATATTGACAAAGGTAGAGAGGGCAGATAGACATCTCACAGCTCAACCACATACACATTCAGTGCAAGACAAAAATGTTTCTACACACAAAGAAAAGGTCTAAGTAGTGATGATACACAAGACATTTTCATTTCCATTAACACATGGTTATCTAAAATTTGGTTTGAGGGAGTATAGAAGACACTTTGGGCTCCAGTAAAGAAGTACTGAGGTCTGACATCTTAGTGAGAGAAGTCAGGACTCTTGAGTTTAATTAACAAAATCCAAAAATAAAGTTGCACACCCTGGTTTAGTTTTAGGGTACCTGACCATGGGTACCTGTAAGGTGTCACAGCAGAGTCCAACTACTCATTTAACTGATATCAATATGAGAGTAAAAAAAAACAAAAAAAAACTTGAGCATATATCAGGACAAGAGCCATCATTTATACATAATCACATTAAAATTTCTTATAATTACCCCTTAAATTTGATTATTAAGGAACCGTCACCAGGATATGTGTTGGGCAGGACATTTATTGTGCAAGCACACGTCAGCTCTCTGTGGTGGACAAACTGTAAATGAAGATGCAGTTCCATCTTCTTCACTAACCTCAAACATATATGACATTGTTAGTTATTACTTAACAGATGACATATATGCTGATCCACTCCTGCATAAGAAGCTAACAATAGCAGCTCATCAGAAAGGCTCTAGAAATTTTGAGATTTTAGGATGTTATATGGCCATTATTACAGTTTGCATTTGGTTCTAATATTCCATAGCTATGCAAAATATTGAGCTGAACAAAACCATTTATAATGAGGTCCAGCTGAATCAGTCTTGTGATATTGTAAATATTTCTTCTTTTCAACTCATGTCATCACAGAAAGACCAAAACCAACAATGAATGCATCATATTACCAAGTAGTGTGTCTGTAGCCAAAGCCTGAGATAGCATATCCTGTGCTGTAGAGCTCCACTGTTGCCCACACAAAATGCACTCTTTTCCCCCGTTTGTACTTCAGCATGGCACTTGTCCAGTGTTCAAAATGTATAAACAAAATCAAATCTACACAAATTCAAGTTAATGTGGCAGCACTGACTGGAATAAAAAAAAAAAAGACAATGTGGATGTTCCAACATAAGCAGGTACCAGTCAATTAACCACACTAATAAGGATGACAGGAGAACTACGACTGTACTTCTGTTCTACAGTCAGATGTATCAGCCATCTGGAGACTTCAGGGAACCTCACCACACCTCAACTAGCAAGTGCTAAAAGACAGGAATGAGCATCAAAACATATTCAGGTGATATTTAAGTCTGGAACCTGTGGTTAAACCTTTCTCATGTTGTGGCTTATATATTTTACAGCTGTCGGGTTTTAAGCTTTTCATTTTTGCGTGATGAGTCACCAGCTGTTCACTGGACTACAATTCTAACCTCATGTCCACACATCCATATCACATCCTCTCATTAACTCCTCTCACTCATGAAAAGACATCCAATCTACCCCTTCTGTTTCTCCTCTTTTGTTGACTGTTTCCTCTCATCAACTTCAAAACACAGAAGAAACTTCAGCAGGTGTGGTGGATGTGCTGTCTGGTTTACTTGCTGTGGTGGAGGTACTGCTGGGTGAACATGTTGAGCTCGCTGTCCAGCCAGCCTGCCTTGTTCCTAACACAGCAATACACAAACACAGTAGTAATATCCACACTTGTGCAACAAGATGCATGTCTGAAAGGAATTACAGATAAGGGTTAACAATAATGGCTGTGCTCTAACTGACTACAGTGATCAGTCTGAGAGCAAAATGGAAGAGAAACTTGTTCTCTTACTGCTCCACAGCCCCCAGTTGTGTCATAGCAAGCACGTCTTTTAAACCTCGGTCTCCTAATCCACACTAAACTGTGTGGCCAGCATTGTTGGAAACCTTTTCATTAAGCTCTATCTAGACTTGTTGAAGGTCTAAAACACTGAACATAAGTGTTTTCATCTTAGTTGGCTTAACCACTCATGTCCAGTGGATGTGGCTGCGCTGTGTTCTGTCTGCGACTGCGGTTTTGATCTGTCCTCTGTATGGCTTCATCCCCCACCGGGTGCGTCTGCAGAGCAACTCGTTGTGGTGCTGACTTTTTGTGTAGGTTTTTTTTTCAGTGTTTTTTAGCTTCTACAGTGGGTAATTAGGTTTCATAGTTAAATGGTTTCTTTTTGTCTGTTTTGTGTTTATTGTTCTTATTATCCTACTTGGTTGTGCTGTAGCCAAGCACACAGACAAAGACTACAGTTAAGGGTTAAATATAATGGCTATAGTTAAGTCATTATGAAACACGGATCAAAGATTTGTGGCTGTGTTTTAATTGTTAAAATGATGTGACTTATTGATAGGCTATAACCAACTAGACTGATTGGTAGGTCAAACCATGTCAGTTCTGGGACAAACTGGCATCCATCAGAAATAGACTAGATGCACATCTTTAGCGAAGTGGTGGGTAGTGCTGCATCTGGGACGCACCGGAGACTGAATGCAGCTGCATCTGGTGGAATCACAACCATTGACTATACTGGCGGTGATCAGCTCTGGTGACCACATTGCAGACGCAATGCAACTCAGCTGGATCCTGTGGAAATTAAGGGTAAGTCTCCTACACACAGATTCAGGGCTGTCCAGGCTGTAGTCTCTACATATCTGCATTGACAGAGCTACACTACCGCAGTTGAACTGCTCCTGTATTGCACTGTACATCACAGACCAGGTGGAAGGTTAACAGGAGCAGTTTTCATATGCATAATTATTCCTCACCAACACTCCAACAAGGTCGTAGTATTTGCACACTTGTCCTTCTGTCTAGCACTGTGGCAGTGTGTTCTTACCGCAGCAGCTTAGCCTTGCTCTGCAGGCTGTCCAGCAACTCGATTTTCCTGTTCATGTTAGTGATCTCATCCTCGAGGTTTTGACGGGTCACGTCTACCTGTTGGCAGAGCTGAGCAAACATACCTGCCAGCTCCCTGGTAAGCACAGACAGCGGGGACATGAGCAGGATTAGAAAACATAAGAACAAAGAGCCAATATAAAAGGTTATCTAGCTAGCATTTAAGGTTTAATCACAAAATCAGCATGAAACTTTCACAGTATACTTTCAAGTCGCCAGTTAAACTCATAACTGTTCTGAGGTGCATAGTAATAATGTGTGTGGTGGTGGCTCACTGCTGGACTTGGTGGCTGCAGTTGGATCCAGTGTAGCTGACGATTAGCTGCAGCTTCTCACTGGCGTAGTCAACAAACTGTCTCTTGAAGGCTCTTTCTTTGGCCTTGGTGGTCCATGTGAGCCGCTCATAGACATAGAGGAGCCCATAGAGACCAACTGACAGGGCGATCAAACGCCAGCCGACCGCCTTCCAGATCTGCACACACCAACAAAGCTTTGTGTTTAACTAAACCCAATCTCTGATCCCAAGTGTAGTGTGAGTGTAATGTACTGTACTGTCTTGTGTCTCCAGCTGCAGCTAACCATTTATTATGAACTTTTGTAAACATCTTTAGTTCATAATTGTTTTAAAAAATTGCATTTTAAAAGAAACATAACCAGTGAGAAGCTGTTTAAATGATGAAGGAAGCAGAGTTATGCTGTACTAATTTTTCCCTTGCAGCAGATATTCACATTTGCATGGCCATTTCAAATGAGTTACAAACCAAATCTGGCGTGTTGCCAAAAACATACCTCATGGCCACTGAAAGAACATATTAGGTGGTGGACTGGAGCACAATAAACAATAAACTAATAAGATGAAAGCAACGCGCTGGCACTGTGTTCCCACATAGGAAACCTTAGTGATGAGGGACGGTCTTCTGGCTCTGGCTTCTCGTTTGTACTGGCCAATGACGTTCACTAGTCAGAGGCTTGGCTAAGCTAAGTGTGCTGTGTACATTTACTGCGCTACAGTTTGCCACATAATACGTTAGACTGGGAATGTGGATTTGAGAAAAAACAAAGTTCTACATTCAAAACAAGCCCACCGTTAACTACTAGTAAAGGCTGCATTCGGTACACATCTGCACCGAACCTAAAGCCCTGTACTGAAATATGTTTTCTATTTTAATTCAATTACTATTTATAGGGATGCAACATTACCAAAAATTCATGGTACAATATACAGTACTGTTCAAAATAATTGCAGTATAATGTGACTAACCAGAATAATCCAGGTTTTTAGTATATTTTTTATTGCTACATGGCAAACAAGTTACCAGTAGGTGCAGTAGATTCTCAGAAAGCAAACAAGACCCAGCATTCATGATATGCACGCTCTTAAGGCTGTGCAATTGGGCAATTAGTTGAAAGGGGTGTGTTCAAAAAAATAGCAGTGTCTGCCGTTGACTGTACAAACACAAAACTATTTTGTACAAACGTTTTTGTTTCTAGGATTTAGCAATCCTGTGAATCACTAAACTAATATTTAGTTGTATGACCACAGTTTTTTATAACTGCTTCACATCTGTGTGGCATGGAGTCAACCAACTTGTGGCACCTTTCAGCTGTTATTACACTCCATGATTCTTTAACAACATTCCACAATTCATTTACATTTCTTGGTTTTGCTTCAGAAACAGCATTTTTGATATCAATCTATTTTCAAGAATCCCCCGCAAAGTCCCTCTGTTAAAAAAAAGGCATGTGCAGAAGAGGTTACAATTTGCCAAAGAACACATCAACTGGCCTAAAGAGAAATGGAGGAACATTTTGTGGACTGATGAGAGTAAAATTGTTCTTTTTGGGTCCAAGGGCCACAGACAGTTTGTGAGATGACCCCCAAACTCTGAATTCAAGCCACAGTACACAGTGAAGACAGTGAAGCATGGTGGTGCAAGCATCATGATATGGGCATGTTTCTCCTACTATGGTGTTGGGCCTATTTATCGCATACCAGGGATCATGGATCAGTTTGCATATGTCAAAATACTTGAAGAGGTCATGTTGCCTTATGCTGAAGAGGACATGCCCTTGAAATGGTTGTTTCAACAAGACAATGACCCCAAACACACTAGTAAACGAGCAAAGTGTTGGTTCCAAACCAACAAAATTAATGTTATGGAGTGGCCAGCCCAATCCCCGGACCTTAATCCAATCGAGAACTTGTGGGGTGATATCAAAAATGCTGTTTCTGAAGCAAAACCAAGAAATGTAAATGAATTGTGGAATGTTGTTAAAGAATCATGGAGTGTAATAACAGCTGAAAGGTGCCACAAGTTGGTTGACTCCATGCCACACAGATGTGAAGCAGTTATAACAAACTGTGGTCATACAACTAAATATTAGTTTAGTGATTCACAGGATTGCTAAATCCTAGAAACAAAAACGTTTGTACAACATAGTTTTGTGTTTGTACAGTCAACGGCAGACACTGCTATTTTTTTGAACACACCCCTTTCAACTAATTGCCCAGTTGCACAGCCTTAAGAGCGTGCATATCATGAATGCTGGGTCTTGTTTGCTTTCTGAGAATCTACTGCACCTACTGGTAACTTGTTTGCCATGTAGCAATAAAAAATATACTAAAAACCTGGATTATTCTGGTTAGTCACATTGTACTGCTATTATTTTGAACAATACTGTACAAAGCCCTTTACTAAATAATAAATCAGATTTTTTTGTGTGATTTTCCTTTTAAAGTGCTTCTTCTGTCCTTCTCTATTAAAATAGAGTAGTAGCCATCCATGATCTAAGCATGTGCAAAAAATTGGCATGAATTGTCACTGGCAATGAATGAGTGAACTGTTTGCACATTTGCAAAACAAAGAACCAGTCAGCAGAAGTGCTTTTACAAAATATTAAAGTGTTTTAAGTACCCCCTAAACAGGTTTAACCCCCTCCCCCACAGTTTGTCCTTGTTTCTTATGTGGGCGGGACTAAGATGCAAGGAAACATGGATGCAATTAGTGGAAGTGTTTGTGTGGGAGGGGTCCTCACCACGCCACCAACCACAAGGACGCCCATGGAAGTACGGGAGGTAAGGGAAGCAAGACCTGTTACCATGGAGACCATCAGCTCCTCTTGGGTCATGGAGCCTTGCGGAAATGGAGGCATGCTTGTGCTGACTGGAGTCAGGGCCATGGGCCGAGGGACCTGCAGGTAGAAGACAGCTGATAATAATGCAGAGCACAGTGACTAGCTCAGAGCGACAGTAGTGGATGATCCAAACAGAACATCAAGGAGACAGTGCAAAAAGATGAGGTAAAATCCAAAAAGCAAGGGATGACTGAAGCAAAACTGCTGCTGCCAGTGTTATACTATAATTGATATTATAATAATTAGGCTACTAATTCTGAATGTATCTGATGAGTGATTTATTGCATGAATAGAGTGCAGACAGGGGGACACCAGCAGTACAGAACTATCATGTTGCCTTTTCTTCATCCCAGATCACCTGCTGAGGTATATAAATATATGGAAAAACAATATTTTTCCTCAGGCCAAAAGCCTAAGCATCGACAACTAAGATGCACACAAATAAAAAAAAAGTAGTTAAAAAAGATGCAATATACAAAAAGTAACAAAAGGTAGCAAGTACAAGAAATTTAAGAAAACTTGTCACATTTAATATTTTGTTCTAAGGAATTAAAATTCAGGAAGGGACTGGAGGCCTTATTAAGAAAACTCTTTTGCATTATATGTTTGTGATGGCCCTGAGTTCAATGCACTGCAACTTGAGAAAACGTGAAAATAAACAAAACACTAGCGTAGTGTTTTGTTTATATTGCGCATCATAAGATGTGCAATATATTGTGGCACTGCAATTTTTCAATTAAATAGCGTACCAACACTAATGCTGTAAATGAGCACAGCTGGTGTTGTATTAATATTAATACACCTCCATTTAGGATCTTGTGCCATTGTGCATGTGTGAGCAGAGAGGGAGCACAGAAGGAAGTGTAAGGTTTTTTTTTTTATATATTTTTGGGCATTTTATTACATTTATTTATTTAGTAATGTGGGTTGCAGAGAGGCAGACAGGAAACAGTGGAGAGAGAGGAGGAGACCTGCAACAAAGGTCCGCACTCAGACTTGAACTGGCGATGTTGTGCACACACTGTGCCTGTATTAACGTTAGTTAATATCCCCCTTAATATCTCCATGTGTTCCCTACAGTCTGTCTCAGAAGGAGAATCCAAGGGGCTGCCACACTGATCTTAGAGATGAGGTTTATGTTCCTGAAGGTATTACCTGGTCGTTGTAGCCCATGAGAGCCCGTCGGGTGCTCTTGGGCCCCAGGAAGCGGTTCACCAGCATTGTCCAGCCCATAGAGAAGTGGAAGCTGATGTCCTCTTGAAAGTCACTGCACAGCTTGTCACAGGCCAGGTCATAACTAAGGCTGAAGCACTGACGAGGAACCAGCTTGTCCACTTGCTCCCTGACTGAGCTGGGCAGCAGAGGCTTCAGACCCTCTGCACACACACAGGGAGAGTAAAAGAGCTCAGCAAAGAGGAACCTAACAATCTTCATATCACTCCACACAGATCTGGTGGTTTTTGTCTGCATGGCAGACATGACTAGGGCTGGGTCTTGGAGAAAATGTATTCAGATCAGAGCTGCAACATGAGAGACGAAAGACTTAAAGATTATATTAATTCTCCATCATAGTAAACCATCAAAATTTTTAACATTATAGCTAATTATATCTAATCATCAACTTTGTCCAAATAAAACAGAACACAAATCATAAAACTTGCAAATGCACATCAAGATACCATCATGGTAAAACGTTCTGCCATTATAGGCTGGCATTATAACCAAAAGAGCAAGAATGCTGCAAAAAGAATATTGAGAGATGTGGACAAGGCCGTGCTGTGATAATATATATTTAATGGCCATGCAACATAATATACCTGCTCTCAACCTTGAAATCTAAAGTCATGTACCCACTGCACAACTGAAAAAGTACATAAAAACCAGTTAATGGAAACCCACCTACTGAAACAGTGTAGCTACAGACATGCTTCTACATAAGAAAATCACTGTACATCTCCTATGCAAAAGTTAAGTCAATACTACACATGCATACTGCAGTCACAGTAGTCAATGTGGCAAGCATGTAGCCAGTAGCATTATGCTTGTAGTATATTAAAGCACATTTGAGCCTGTTCCCAGGAGGATCTTTGTGGCTATCTGTCTCAGGTGTAAACAAGAGGAGTATTTACCGATCATGTCGGTCTGTGTGGACTGCAGGGCACTGGTGATAGAGGTTGAACATCTCTCTGACATATTTTTGCCCAGACCCTCTTCTATGTGCCGATGAAGTTCCTATAACAAACAAACAAAAAAAAGAAAAAAAAACCCAGATTCTTTGTTGTCTTACATTTACATCAACAGTATTGTGGAGTCAGAACTCCATGACCACTGAGCCTAAGTGACACAGTATGTCAAACACAGGCTTGATGAAATCTACATTTCTTTTTTACCAATCTACAACCACCTAAATATGGCAGTCATTCTAGTACAGTACCATGTTGGTCAAGAGTAAATTAGCATACAGTAATGTGGGAAAAAAAAGGTTTATAAAGTAACATACAAAGAGCAGCAAACAGAAATACTCTCAATCAAATCAAAATATACCTTTAAAACAATCCTCCTCAATACACTTACAATTTTTCAAGATGTGTATGGACCTAGAAATCCACTTCGTATTACAAACTCTATCTGCATTTGAAAATAAGCCAGTGTGACGCCATTTTGTGCTCGAATGTTGCTCAGCTATTGCCAAAAAAGGCCGACTGATGACCACAAACAGAACAGCTGAAGACCGATTGCTGATATGCACCTAAATGAGAAGAGGGTGTACCGAGAACAAGAACTCCCTAAGTCAATAATTACATTTTTAAACAAAGGGTGAATCGACCACACTATTGGGCACAGTCACCTCACAGAAAAAGAATTGTACTATTCCATATAATAGCTTGGACTCAGAATGCCTTTTGGATGAATGCCACCAAGTCTTGAATCAAGCAGTTTACCTATCAGTTTGTGATTTGGGTGCACAGAAGTCCTTACAGACACACTGTAGAAAAATGGCAAAAAATTATGTCATATAGACCCTACAGTTACCCTTTGGCAAGGTGGCTAATGATTTGGAATAACCAGATCTGCTATGGTTTTAGCAGGTATCTGTCCACAAGTAATCTTGTCTAAAGTACAGTATAGTAGCTATCTACACACTTGTGAAAACATTTGAATGTGCAACAAAAAGACCTACACAGACTTCTCTCAATTTCACTAAGTATGGTGAATGGTAATTGAGTGCCATTGTGGCCTCCCACATGAAGTTCACATTAAGGACCAAGAATTCTGTTGGATACATGTGTTAAACTCACATTCTTGTAGACCTTAAGCACTACTGGTGATGGGTGGAAATCCATGTGGAAGTCATCAACCAAGACATGGAGCTTTCTGATCTCTTCAGCCATGATATTAGACACCTGAATATGAGCAGAAAGCAGGAGTGAAATCTATTTCCCTTCAGTTCGAACTTTGTAATACTTAAGGACAAACTTCAGTGACACACCAAGAAGCAGCTGTTTTACTGCGGCTGCTGAAAAGACAGGTTTGTTATGTTATGATGTTATGCAGAGTTCACCTGTTTCTCCACCTCCTCTGTAATTTTCTTGATTTTGGCTTTACAGTCCATAGTCAAAAGGTCCAACTGGGTGTCTATAAACTCCAGTCGATCCTGACGGTCCCTTTTGGTCTCAAGACAGTAGACCCTACCCCCCAACAACCACACACAAAAAAAAATCGTGGGAGGAAGACTGCTTTCAATCTGAACTGACACACCATCAGCCTAGATGATATATAGCAGTGTAAAGATAACTAGAGGTATATAAATTAGAGTTGTTTCCAGTCTTTGGTTGATATACTGTACAGTCTCAGTCCATACACATGTCCAATCTAATTTTAATATTTGACTCACCTTTGCTCTTGTGCAGCGATGTATACAGAATCCATAATACGGCGAAGAGCTTCAGAGATCTGCTTGGCTCTCACTGTGTGCTGCTCAAACTTGGTCTTCACTGCTGACTGCGAGATACACTCCTACACATAGCAGCCACACCAACAAGCCAACAATACAAACATCAATTCAAGAACATAAGATGAGCATGAATGAAGTGCTCCAAGAGCAGCAGAAATTAATGTTTCATATTTAGATTTCGTTGCTTCACACAATGAATAACTTAACTATTCAAAGTTAGAAATTTTATTCAAATAACAGCCACATTAGTCAATCTTTATTTTTTAAGACAAACATTAATATTTGGGGAAAATGCCTTTTTTGCCATCTTGGCAAAGCCATTTGTCTGCATCCAGTACAGAAAAAGGCACAGAATATTTTTTGCCTAGTTTAGCACAAATACTGGAAGGAAGGGCAAACTGCAGGGCTACTCTCAATGCTGGAGTGCTTCTTATGAATAATTAAAGATACTGACACTGATGAAATTGTTTCATGTATGTGATGCAGTTAGCCATCAACTGCTGTTGAATCCACTGATAAATAAAATGGATACCCAATAAGACAATGGAATTAAGCATAACATATAAATGTATCTGGTATTCAAATATGTGATCTATTAAAAAGGTGGCAAGATGCATTACACCATATAGAAAAACTATGCTTGGCCAATCTGCCTCTTCTTATCATTAACCTCAACCAGGCGCTTTCTGTAGCTGTGGATCAGACCTGCACATCGTTCAGGAGGAATTTTAGCCCTTTCTTCCTGGCAGAACTGCTTTAGCTCCGTCATATTCTTTGGACCTCTCCTGCGTATGGCTCTCTTCATGTCATCCCATAGCATCTCTATTGGGCTGTCTGGGCTCTGACTTGGCCACTCCAAAAGGCGGATTTTATTTTTCTGAAGCCATTCTGTTGTGGACTTGCTCTGGTATTTTGGGTCATTGTCCTGTTGCATCACCCAACTTTTACAGAGTTTCAGCTGATGTACAAACATTCTTATATTATCCTCAATTATTACCCCTCAATGACTGCAAGCTGGCCAGGCCATGATGCAGCAAAGCAGGCCCAAATCATGACATTTCCTCCACCATATTTTACGATTGGGATAATGTTTTCATGATGATATCCAGTGCCCTTTTTACACCAGATGTAGTGCTGTGTGTTCTTTCCAAATAGTTCAATCTTAGTTTCATCAGTCCACAAAACGTTTTGCCAGTACCACTGTGAAGTGTCGATGTGCTCTTTCGCAAACTTCAGGCAAGCAGCAATGTCCTTTTTAGTAAACAGTGGCTTCCTTCGTGGTGTCCTGCCATAGACACCCTGCTTGTTCAATGTTTTACGTACTGTAGACTCATGAACATAGATGTTATCCAGTTCCAATGATGCCTTCAAATCTTTGGCTGTCACTCTAGGTTGTTTCTTTACCTCACTGATGAGTCTTCGTTGTGCTCTTGGGGTCATTTTGACTGGGCACCCACTTCTTGGTAGAGTAGCCACAGTCAGATCGTTAGCCTAACTGTAGACTGGTGAATTTTTTAAATCTTTGAAATCACTTTATAACCCTTCCCATTTTTATGTAAATCAAAAATTCTTGATCGTACATCTTCTGAAAGCTCTTTTTGGTGAGGCATGGCTCACATAAGTGTATTTTCCTTGTGTGGAGCAAACTCAAAAGGTTTGAGTGGTTTTTATCTGTCAAAATAGCTCTAGTCCACACCTCCAAACTCATTTTCTTAACAAGACTCCAGGTATGCTAACACCTGACTCCAATTAGCTTTTTTGAGGTCATTAACTCTAGGGTTCATGCACTTTTTCCACTAGCACTATGAGGTTTTTTTGGTTGTTCTCAATAAAGCCATGAAAGATCAGAATTTTTTTTGTGTTATATTAGGCACATTATATTTGTCAGTACTCTTGACTTAGATGACGATCAGATCACATTTTATGACAAACTAATGCAGAAAACCAAAAGGTTCACATACTTTTTTTTGCCACTGTACAGTATCTCTATATACTCTCTTGCATTTCCAGCCACAGCTAAGATAAAGTAAGCAAAGTAAAGAGAGACAGTGGCCATAAGAGGTCTGGCATTATTCGTTAGGTCCTATTCTGATTGGTTGGGATGAAGATGAGTCATCAACTCCAGGCAATCAGAGTAGGTGCTCATGAATTATGTGAATGTTAATCATTTCCAAAACAGCCTGCTAGAGGACACAGGGGAATCTGGGCTGTATAAAGACAGGTTTAGAGAAACCCAATAACTTTGGGTGAAATGTCACAGATTGTTTAAAAAAAAAATCATGTGACATATTTATTTATAAAATGCATCAAAAAGGGCCATAAAACCATCTCTTTAAAACCCATTTAAATCTTATTCTTAGTTGTTACACAGATCTTACCTCAAACCGCCTCTCAAAGTTCTGGAACTCAAACATTCTGGCTTGAAATCCTTCTGCAAGAGCTCCACCTAAAACAGGACAACAAAATGTAATACTGTTCAAGCCTGCTTTCTGTGTATTGCTGGCTGGGTTAACTTTTCAATATCTGTGCTGATATACCACAATTTCAGTACTGACACTAATATGATGCTTTTTTTGACATCAAAGTTTGAGAAATATGTATTTTGCAAAAAGCACAATTTTAATTGAGAAATCAAGTAAAAAAACATCATGTTAAACATTGTCTAAACACGAGCATCTCTGCAAAAACTGCCATCTAAATAAACTATTCTGAAATGGGTAAAATTTTATATTGAATATGTCAATATGATATATCTGACCAGGCATTGGACATTTTGTACTTCTGTTTTCTTCAGGAATAACAAAGTCCAAGGACTAATGAATAACATAGCTCATTATCTGTCTGCTGAAGATTCAGTACTTCTCCAACCCATTCAGTGGATCAATTCACAGTAAATCCTCTTACACGCACCTCCCCGATTTACATTGCTGCATGCACTGTGCAGTATATGCAACCTGCACAAGCTGATGTTGATAAGAGACTTCCCAGTGTCCTTCTGCACATCCTTCTGAAGTATTTTCAAACATTTTCCAATTAAGAGAGCAGGTCCTTCATTTTCCCATTGTATGCCCTACATTTTTCCACATGAAGCCAAACATAATTAAATTGGCACTTCCCTGGCAAAGCATGAATTTACATTGCTCCCACATACAAAGTGCAACCTAAGATCATTGTTGAAATGACATTAGGCAGAGAGCACTCATGATGTTATGAACTTCTAAAAGTTAATTTAATATTATCATTATAACATACCGATAACCACTCTTAATCGAATTATATACTGTAGATAAATCTAATTTCCAAAACCTTTCCAGTCCTGAAAATAAGTATTTTCAAATTCCATGGAGTTTCCAGTTTTTTTCATAACAGTACAAACCCTGTTCAACAAAACAAATTAAAATATTCGTGAAAGCACTTTCCACTACTCTTCTGAAACTTTTATTTTATAATAATCACCACAATATAATAATCACCTTTATTTGGCCAAGTATGTTACACACACAAGGAATTTGTTTCCAGTACAGAACCAAGGCGGTCATCTGCGGCACCAACTCACACCGATGGCTCTAACCATCAGGGGACAGTTTGGGGGTTCGGTGTCTTGCCCAAGGACACTTTGACATGTGGACTGCAGGTACTGAGATTTGACCCACAGGCACCCCCCATTCCAAAACCTTTTAGCTCTGAAAAATTATTTTTGAATTCCTTGACTTATCAGATTCCACAACTGACTACCATTCTCACCTGCTTCAGGCATCCCTTGAGCCTTCTGCACACGAGCCTGAAGTGCTTCCTTGGCAGAAACGAAGAAGATGCGGTCACTGGCCTGAGCTCGGTCCACCACACCGAGTTCATCCACAAGAAAATTTGTGCACCGGTCCATATGTTGCCTGCGAACCTAACACAGTAACACCACATTTTAAAGATCCACTCCAGAAACATTTAAATATTTATGTGCACATATAAAAATACTCTGCTATAAACATTATATAGTTTATAGGGTTTTTCCTCAAAAAACATTCACTGAACCTCTATAGGGCCTCAACATTTGCTCCCATGTGAATTTCAGTATTCAGGAAATTTCAAATATATGACTACAGTACCCCCCACTGCCACTTCCCCTACATTGGCTGGTGACCTTACTGTATCAGGATGGGATGCAGGAGTGAACACTGAAGAGATTTAGCAGTTAGTTTGTTCACTCGTTAAATAGCAACACTGTATAAAAGAGATACAAGTCAACTGTGCAAATGTACTTATAGTCTTGAGAGTTCAACAATATGTTCAACAGTTTAACAAGCAGTTCAACTACTAACAGTGAGCTAAACAGTGTTTTAATTTGCTGTACTCCAATGTTTCTACTATGATCCCATAACGTTTGATAGTATGTCGTATCTTTTGTGATGAGTAAATTTAATAAAGATCCGAAAGCTTACCTTGCAGTATTAGCAACTGGCTATCCTTTAGCACACATGGTAGCAGTTAGCATTACCACTGACCCATATGTACAGTGCCTTGCGAAAGTATTCGGCCCCCTTGAACTTTGCGACCTTTTGCCACATTTCAGGCTTCAAACATAAAGATATAAAACTGTAATTTTTTGTGAAGAATCAACAACAAGTGGGACACAATCATGAAGTGGAACGAAATTTATTGGATATTTCAAACGTTTTTAACAAATAAAAAACTGAAAAATTGGGCGTGCAAAATTATTCAACCCCCTTAAGTTAATACGTTGTAGCGCCACCTTTTCAAGTCAAAGTCCAGACCTGAATCCAATCGAGAATCTGTGGAAAGAACTGAAAACTGCTGTTCACAAACGCTCTCCATCCAATCTCACTGAGCTCGAGCTGTTTTGCAAGGCGGAATGGGCAAAAATTTCAGTCTCTCGATGTGCAAAACTGATAGAGACATACCCCAAGCGACTTACAGCTGTAATCGCAGCAAAAGGTGGCGCTACAAAGTATTAACTTAAGGGGGCTGAATAATTTTGCACGCCCAATTTTTCAGTTTTTTATTTGTTAAAAAAGTTTGACATATCCAATAAATTTCGTTCCACTTCATGATTGTGTCCCACTTGTTGTTGATTCTTTACAAAAAATTACAGTTTTATATCTTTATGTTTCAAGCCTGAAATGTGGCAAAAGGTCACAAAGTTCAAGGGGGCCGAATACTTTCGCAAGGCACTGTAGCTACTAATTACAACAATGGTAACAGAGTTCATTAGTGAGTCAAGTGTAGCCTTTACTGTCATACAACTATGCTTTGCTGTTAATACTCCAGTAGCAGTATGTCTCATACTGTCTTGTAAGTTCTGATAGTATGTCAGTATCTCTTTAGTTTTGCTGACATTGATTGATCAAAACTGTAATCTAGTAACAGAGAATCTAGTGATTAATATTTTTAGGAGCGGCTAAGTCAACCATTGTTACACACATGCAGGGTGCACAGTAATTTGATGTAAATCAGACCCTGGAGCCAAACATAGCTTAGTTGTTAAACACCAGTGACTAATTACACATCACATACTGTACATTTTATAGGATGTCAGTATCTCTTCATTTTTTCAGTTAATCCAAACCTTAATCTAGTAATGTTAACAGAAGACTGGGAGTTTAAGTAGATTCTACAAAATCATTAAAAACATCTGTGAAAGACTACTGTACTTTTTTGCCATACCACATTTGGTCAGTCTGCATTTTCTGTGAAAACTACATCTCAATGTAATGCTCTACCAGATGACATATACAAAGAGTTGCAATTCCTTTGGTAGTTTTAAGGCTAAATTGTAAAATCTGCTAAAAATAGGCAGCCATGTAACCAACCAACCATTTTTTATGGTTGATTGAGCTTTGTCTGTGCAGATTCTCAGTCATCCAGGTCATAGTAAGCTGGAAAAAAAAACCTTAGAAAAAATCAACTGGACTAGATTTCTAGGTTGAAGACTTTTCACCTCTCATCCAAGAGGCTTCATCAGTTCTGATTGACTGGTGTTGAGCCAGAGATATTTATCCCCGTCGGTGGTGTTTCAGTCCTTTGAAGGCCAACAATGTCCCCTAACGACTGAGTCGTTATAGCCCAGTATTGGTGAGAGCCGTTACCCGTCTTTGAATCCTTCCCTGTGGACCGATGCCTATTGTCCTAGTGGGTATGTTTGGGCAGAGATCTTAAAACAGGATTGTAGATGGATGACAAGTTGTGTCTTAGTCCACCACCCCTATTTAGTGAGGGGTGTTCTATTTTTACGCTTGTAAACAGAGCCGGCTGGAGCACCTCACAAGCCGATAGCATGGGCGAGGAGGAACAGCCCTTGCACAAGTACATGGCCCAGCACAGGAGGACCAACCTCAGTGGACCAGAGTCAGCAGTCCACCTCCACCTGAAGAACAAAGGACTTGAGAACAGTGAAGTCTGGATCTTCTCCAGAAAACACCACTGGTTTGAGAGAGGAGTCAAAGAAGCTGTTTTTGTCCAAATATAACACCCCTCTCTAAATAGGGGTGGTGGACTCAGACAAAACTTGTCATCCATCTACAACTCTGTTTTGAAATCTCTACCCAAACATTTCCACCCTAATCCACACCAAGACAACAGGCGTCGGTCCAAATGTGAGGGTTCAAAGACAGGTAATGTCTCACTGATACCAGACTGCCCTGTGATTTAAAGTTCTGATGACTCCCAGTTTGTGTTGAAGTGGATGGTGTGAGTCAAAAAGCAGGTATTGGTCCGTGTGTGTAGGTTTCCGATATACTTCTACCTTCAGGCTTCTGTTCCCTCCCAAGTGGACTGCACAATCCAGAAAGGCCAGACAGTCATCTCTGGCATCCTCACGAGTGAATTTGATGTTGTCATCCACAGAGTTGATATGCTTGGTGAAAGCCTCTACCTCCTGGGTCCTGATTTTAACCCATGTGTCGTCCACGTAGTGGAACCACTGGCTGAGAGTGGTACCAGTGAAGGAAGACAGGGCTTTCTCCTCAATTTCTTTCATGTACAGGTTGGCAACTATAGGAGACACCGGGGAGCCCATCGCACAGCTGTGTTGCTGCCTATAGAAGTGCCCCCTAAACTCGAAGTAGGTAGTGTTTAAACAGAGTTCCAGCAGAGTGCATACATGGTCTGGGGTGAGGTTAGTCCTGTTGTTTAGCATGTCATCCTTCAGCAGTCTCTTCTTCACCGCCCTGACAGCCTCTGTGGTGGATGCAAGTGAACAAGGATGTGACATCATATGAGACCATGGTCTCATCCTGGTCCAGCTGCAGTTGTTGGACTTTCCTTGCAAAGTCCTGGGAGTGTATTATGTGGTGCTGTGTGTTTCCCACCAAAGGAGCCAGGATGGTGGCCACCTGCTTGGCTATGTTGTAGGTCACAGAGTTGATGCTGCTGACAATGGGTCTGAGTGGGGCTCCTTCCTTGTGTATTTTGGGTAGGCCATAAATGCAAGGGATGGCCTCCCTGGGGTATAGTCTGTAGTATAGTTGTCGGTCAAGGAGGGAGTTACTGACCGTTGTTTTTAATGGAAGAAACCTTGAGCCAAGTGCTTGCTCAAGGGGGGTCTGTTGGGCTTTCCTCTATATTAATAATAGTAAAGTCTAGACCTAAAATTTGTAAAGTGTCCTGAGATGACTTTTGCTGTGATTTGGCACAATACAAATACATTTGAATTGAATAGCTACTGTCCTGATGTTAACTGTAGAGATCTGCTAAAAGAGACAACACTACCACCACAGCAGCGTGTACATGTCTGCTCATAGTATTTATGAAATACTGTAACCCTGTCGGTTATTCCATGTCTCATTGAGATTTGTAGTTTTTTTTTTTTCTTTCTCAGATGTATAAAGTCATCAACCTCAGTCCCCCAAATAAATAAGTTCATCTCGAGCCAGAAAGTCTGATAATCAGTCTTTGTCACACTCACGCCAAATGAGCTATTGATGTCAGCAGCCTAACAAACCCATCTCAGCTGGTTTGTAAGAAATTACACTGCCCAATTATGTGCAATATGAGCCTACAGTATACTGTCGCCAACAATGTTTTATTCCATTACAAGCATCCACATTCAAACACTTAGCAAAATAACTGAAAATACAAGCAGTGTTTCAGTTAAACTTAAAAAAATGTGTCTGAGTGTTCATCTTCAATGCCATAAGAAATAAAGCCATGCAACATTAATTAATCATAATTTCTCCTCCAGCCTTACAATAATCCTCTCTAGCACTACAGAAACAACACATTAACAGACATGCAACGTGTGTGGGTTCTTTTGTTAAACTAACTGTTAAGTCCCACCGAGTAGTGGAAACATCACTCCCTTTCAAGTAGCTCCAAGGTCGTACTGTATGTTCACCTCTTTTTTGAGCTTTAGGTCGTATCTAAGATGATAATTCACCATTGTAACATTGTAGATAAGTAAAAATACAAGGGAGCAGCTTAGAGGCAAATATTATTTGTTGTAGTGACCAATAAATCACATAAGAAGACTTGCATTTGCAAATGTGAGTTATAAATGTTGTGCGTAATTGATGCTAAATACATTAGGACTGTGAGACTACTGCCTCTAATCCGTTCAGTCAATAGCAAGGATGACATCATATTTGAGGCCTTATTACTCCACTACACATTACCATTATATTCAGAGTATTTTAGCAACAAATTTATAGTACACAAGAGACTATGTAATGCAGTAACATTAAATAAACATGCTCTTACCTTCTCTTATTTAAAACAGCCCATAAAGCATAGGGCAGGAGTTCCCTTTAATGTTATTCCATGTTTTGCTTCTTTGCTACTGTGATCTTGGGCAGTCCTGTGTCCGTTTGATCCAGACCTCATGAGCTCAGCATCAGACTGGCTTGTACTAACCTTTTCACCAACAGTAAACTTTATAACTGGGTCCAATTTGGTCTGTTTAGCTTCTAGTTTCTGACTAGCTTTGTCCTGCTACAAATTGAAATAGTTTAGCAAATTTGCTAAAGCAAAAATTTATTTTACATATTTAAACTCACAATGCTTCCTCTTTTTGCTAACATTACTACTTCTTCGTCTTCCAAGCGTCTCAAAATTTAAACTACTACTTCAACTTGAAAACAGAACATTCATGTTCTAGAGCCAGTGTTTGTCCATTGTGGGCTACTGTAAAAAACATGCCGACTCAACATGACAGTCTTTGTGATAGGGAACCTGCTCCTATGTAGATATGACAGCTCATTTTAAGCTAAAAAACTCAATGATTCTTGTTTTCTAATGATTATGCATAAATGAAAACATAATTACGGAGACTATAGCTCGTTTCTGCCAATAAATCCTTCTAGATCTTCCAAACTGCACATTGGAAGTGTCAGAGTATACAGTCCAGGCTTCAACTATTTGGAGAGTCACACTTCTTTTGTTAAAATATGACACCACGTTTTAAATACGTAACCATGGCTGTGTTTCTATGTATAAATGTTTTACCAACATGAGGGTGACTGACCTCTTCCATGTATTCAGGTTCTGAGGCTGACGCATCCCAGCGGTTATTAAGGATGAAAATGTTTGGACTGGAGAGCCGCTCATTGACCTTGTGGAAGAAGGACTTCTCCTGTGGAATGAATTTAAACCTCATTTACAATTTTTTTTAAATGCCTCAATTGAATAGACATTTAATTAATAGCATTAGACCTATATCTGTCCTATACACTATTCTACATTTATCTCATCATAAAACAGCTGATTCACTTCTAGAAGATTAAAGAACCATCTGACGGCTTCTGGCTCAAACTACAGATTTTTCACAGAGGACCTGGTCATTTTAAACATGCTGACTCGTTTTACAATAAAATGCATGGCTTTCAAGCCTCACCGCCTCTGTCATATCTCACCGTCTGCATCAGTGTGGACTCAGAGTTTGCCACCAGAACAAACACATCAGCATCCAGACAAAACTTGTCAATCCAGCTGTCCAGTTCTGTGGTAACATCAATACCTGGGCTGAAAGGGTAAACATGAAGTAGAAAAAGTCAACTGCTATCCCTTGCAAGTGAGCATGGCAGTTTTCAGGCAATAGAAAACTGAAATTAAATATTTGCAAACAAAGATAGCTGTGTTTTTTCAATTAAGTATAGGTTTGAGATTTTTCAGATCTGCTTTAAAACAATGCTGATTTGCCCAGAAATATTTGACAATAGGTTTGGATCACTAACTACAGTTTTCACAACTCCTGACATTTAATCGTATAAACTTTCCCCGTCTCCGGTCAGTTAGGATCACTACTTTATTTTAAGTGTGAAATGTCAGAATAATAGCAGAGAAAAAGATTTATCTCCGCTTATATTTCTTTCATCACATTCCCTGTGGGTCAGATGTTTACATACACTTGGTTAGTATTTGATAGCATTGCCGTTAAATTGTTTCACTTGGATAAACATTTCAGGATGCCTTCCACAAGGTTCTTACAATAGGCTGCTGGAATTTTAGCCCATTCTTCCTGACAGAACTGGTGGAACTGAGTCAGGTTTGGAGGCCTCCTTGCTCACACACTTTTTCAGGTCTTCCCACAAATTTACTATTAGACTGAGGTCTGGGCTTTGTGACAGCCTCTCCAGTACCTTGGCGCTGTTGTCCTCAAGCTATTTTGACACAACTTTGGAAGTCTGCTTGGGGTCATTGTCCATTTGGAAGACCCATGTCTGACCAAGCTGTAACTTCCGGACTGATGTCTTCAGTGTATCCACATAATCTTCCTTCCTCATGATGCCATCCATTTTATGAAATGCCCCAGTCCCACCTGCAGCAAAGCAGCCCTACAACATCATGCTGCCACCCCCATGCTTCATGGTTGGGATGGTGTTCTTTGGCTTGCAGGCCTCCCCTGTTTTCCTCCAGACATAATGATGGTTATTATAGCCAAACAGTTCAGTTTTTATTTCATCAGACAAGAGGACATTTCTCCAAAAAGTCAGATCTTTGTTCCATGGTGTCCCGTGGTGTTTATATATTATTATGTCAAACAAAGAAGTACTGAGTTTGAAGGCAGGCCTTAAAATACATCCACAGGTGCACCGCATATTGACTCAAATGATGTCAATTAGCCTATCAGAAGCTTCGAAAGCCAACAATTTCTGGATTTTTCCAAGCTGTTTAAAGGCACAGTCAACTGAGTGAATGTAAGCTTCTGACCCACTGGCATTGTGACATAGATTATTTCAATAATAATTCACTACCTGTAATCAACAGCTGGAAAAACTACTTGTGTCACACAAAGTACACGTCCTAACTGACTTGCCAAAAAGAAGAGTTTGTTAACATGACATCTGTTGAAAAAATAAAAAAATCAGTTTTAATGACTTCAGCTTAAGTGTATGTAAGCTTCTGACTTCAGCTGTATTCTTACTCTCCATACTAGCCATGAAGCTTTTCATCCAGTGACATTATAAACAATGAGTGACAAAATGCACAGCACATGTTCCATGCAAAAAAAAGCATGCCAAAGTGCAGCTGAGGCTTATATGAAACTTCAGCAATTCCAACAATCTTAACCCAGTCTTCATCTTTCAAAGATCGAGTCTGTTTAATTCAATGTTATTATTTTTGGCTGATTGCTAAATAGCAACACATGCTATGTAATTATTTGCAATTGCCCAGTCATAAACGGTTAGTTCAAAATTAACCTGCACTTCACCTTTTAAAAAGAATCGTGGCTGGCGTGAGGGAGACAGAGAGAAGAGCTATCTGCTATCTGTTGGCTCACCAAAATTTTTTTCTTTTTGTGCTACTTTAACAAGGAAGCTATCCAATGACACTTGCTTTTGCCTCCTTTCAAGGATTTGACGGAAATGTGGCATTGCACTGTTGTTAAACAGATTTATCGTCTGCACTGCTACAGCCTTATTCAGGTGGTGCTTTTCCACAAAATTTTGTACTGTTTTCCACATTTTACACATCTCCCTTATAAAATTTTGCAATGCCGGCCACTCGCATACCTCATTCATGCTTCTTGATTTCATTTTTAACTTCCACCATAATCACCTCCTTTTTCTTACCACCCTTCTTTTCAACATTTATTTTTTCTTCATTGAGGCCATTGTTGTAGTATAGATGTTGACTATACGAATGAGGCACAAGAACCATTGGCTCAGTTGTGTCATGTCCCAGTTGCTCATCTTGCAAAACACTCACAGACCAGGTTACTTGCAAACCAAGGTTTTGCTGTACATCTTTAGAAATACAGGCCAGTTATAAGCCTCATTCAAATTTGCAATATATTGTGTCCCTCGTTTTCTTACAGCATAGTCAAACTCCAGGTGAAAAGTTTCTTTAACTTTTCTTTAATAACCATAAGAATATCCATATTCTTGTAACACTACTACTGGGGACAGCTCCGTCCTTTGTCTCCAATCCTGTTTGTGATTTTCATGGACAGGATCTCAAGGCACAGTCAGGGGGAGGAGTGTGTTTGGTTTGTGGACTTCAGAATTACTTTTCTGTTTTTTGCAAACAATGTAATTCTGTTGGCTTCATTACACTATGATCTTCAGGATGCAATAGGGCGGTTTGCAGCTGACTGTCAAGTGGCTAGGATGAGAGACAGCATCTCCAAGTCTGAGGCCATGAACCTCCTCTGGAAAATGGTGGACTGCTCCCTTGGGGTTGGGACTGAGTGGCTGCCCCAAGCAAAGGAGTTTATCTCTTAGAATCATGTTCCCAATTGAAGGTAAAACTGACATTTACAAACAGATTGGTGCAGCATCAGCAGTAATGCGGGTGTTGTACCAGGCTGTGAAGTGAAGACAAAGCAGAGCCAAAAATCAAAGCTTTCAATTTACCAGTCAACATACATACAGTATGTTCTAACCTTCACCAATAGTCACAAACTTTGGGTAGTGACCGGAAGAATGAGACTGCACATATAAGAGGCCGGAATGGATTGCTGAGCTCAGCCCTTAGAGATAGGGTACAAAGTTAAGGATAAGGATAATCAGCCATCTGCGGCGCCACCTCAACCGATGGCTCTAACCATCGGGTGCAACAGGGGGGTTCAGTGTCTTGCCCAAGGACACTTCGACACGTGGACTGCCAGCACCGAGATTTGAACCTTCAACCTTCTGGTTGGGAGATGACTGCTCTACCCACCGCACCACTGCCGCCCCTCCAAAGTTCAGACTTCCAGAGCCAGTTTCACAAAGACCAACTCTGACTATGGTTTAGATCTAACTAATTATCAGACTTTACAGATGTAGGCATTCAAAGGGTCATATTTTTTGACTGCATTGAATTTGCGGTGTCCTGTCGGTGACGCTACATCAATAAGGCAGCGTTTTTAACTCTGCATGAGACTCATAAAATCCAACCAGCAGTTCTCCTTTTGGCCACCAGATGTCGCAAAACCCACCAACAGTACAGGGCTTTGAAGTGGCAAACCATACAGTATTTTTATCATACAGGTACTGCTTATAATCTGTGAGGCTGGGTTTCACATCTCTAATCAGAGATCTACTATATTAAACATGAATAACACAGCACCATAAGTTACCGGCAGTTACCGTTACAGTAGTGAACACCATGTGCAGTATGCTGCAAAGAAGTAGACAGCTTTTTTGTAAACACTCATTTCAAATCTGATTTATCACATAGCTTTTGTCATAACCCTGTATCTATGCTGACTTTGACAATGTAGTGGACATAAAATTGTTTGTAAATTTTATCAGCTAAAATACTGTAAAATTTGGGGTCATTAAAACACAACAGCCCATACTATAGGACAAAACGGAGGTGTATCAGCTGTGTACCACTGCACTAAATTACTATTTTATAGCCTACTTCTACAGTTACCCTGACTTCTATAACATTTCTATTTAACTCTTCTTTTTTTAGGGATTGTGTTTTATTCTTCGATTATATTCCGATGCAATTTGGATGAATGAAGCCCTGCATTTTTCTACAGACACAGCAGCCAAATGTTAATGCTCAGGGAGGATAGTGGAGCTACAGAGCACATCACTGGTAGATCAGACGCTTGAGTTCAAGTCTGCTTTGCGTTTTTCTTTATAACTTGAAGTCACTTTTAAGTTTTTCTTTACCAAGACCTGTAAAAAATCAACACATAACCATAATAAAACTGCTCAGAGCAACTCTGAGCAAGGAAGATACAAAAATCTTTTTCTTAGTGAGGAGATAAAGGATGAGGAGATTCGATTAGAAAGCTCTTCTACCGCAACGTGTATATACTGTACATTTATAAATAGTTGACTTTTTTCTTCCTATTCTCTTTTCTATTTGATTACACAGGTCTTCCTATTTTGAATGTGCACATTCTCATTTTTAGTCTATATGTTTTTGAGAGCCTCTGCACCGAAGTCAAATTTCTTGCTTGTTTAAACATGCTTTACCAATAACGCCAATTCTGAGGTTGACCTGCTGCTAGGCTTCTTGATCATATGGGAGCGATGCCAGCTGCTGAGAAGTGACACCTACTGTAACTCATGGTGTCAGTACGGTGTTACCAGCTTGCAGCATGGAGCCCTTGGTCCTGGGGCATTATTTTAACCCCTCATCAGAAAAACAAGTGAAAGACTAGCAGCTGGTGCTGCCCCCACATGACGAACTGTAGCTGCTGTGTCTATAGAAAAACGCAGGGCTTCATTCATTCAAAATATGCTGCATTGGAGAAAAGAAAAAAAAAAAAAAAAAAAAAAAAAAAAAAAAGAGTTGCACAGTAACGTTTTAGGAGACACGGTGACCTATGAAGTAGGCTATAAGGTAGGGGTGGTTTAAAACTGCAGTGGTAAGTTACACATCCAACAATCGAACACATTCCCTTCAAAATTCATCTGCATTTGCAGTTTAGCTGTATACTATAGTAATGCAGTTTTTAGGAGAGAGGATTGGCTGATACATCCAAAACAAAATATACAAAATATTAAACTAACATCACAGTCCACACACAATATAATCAAGGTTTAAAGCAAAGCCTGACCAGAGGACTTTTTCTTTACTTCCAAGTAGGCATTCATATAGCAGCCTATGGGCTATGGTTTGTGTATGCACGCAGTGCTGTACCTGTGGAGTGTAGGCTGAGCACCACCTACAGAAATTATACTGTAACACGTCATGCTGCGGGACAAATAACAAATAGTTGCAGTAAAGGTGGCCATTTATCACATCAGAGTGACACTTTGAATGCCTACATTTTTAAATAGACATCTAAACTTATCTGTTGCACAAAGCTGTTTCGCTCTTGACTAGCTCAAGTAGAAGTAATCTGCTATGACTTTAACCACCAAATTTTAATCTGTTCATCCCTGAGTCCAAGTGGACACTTGTGGCAAATTTGAAGAAATTCCCTCATGGTATTTCTGGCCTATCATGTTCACAAGAATGTGATGAAGACAAGATCACAATGACCTTGACCTTTGACCACCAAAATCAAATCAGTTCATTTTTGAGTTCAAGTGGCTGTTTGACCCCCAAAAAAATCCCTTAAGGTGGTGCTGAGATATTGCGTCCAGAATGGGCCGCAAAGAGAAAGGGATGAACAGGCAGACAACCTGAGAACATCATGCCTCAGGGCGCAGCTGTTGCCACTGTGGAGGCATAAAAACATGGCTGACTGAACAGAGCATCAGCAGAGAATTTGTGATTTCTGGATGAATTTAACAGTTATCTAAAAGGATGTTTTATTGGCAGCAGCAGGGCTGAAAAAAGCCTGGCCAGTAATTTTACCGGTCCCAAGCAAAACCACTGGATGCCCTACCTGCCTGTCAACTTATTTCCTACTTGCATGCACTCTGGCCTTGCACTAAATGCACGAGACAGGAGTCTCCCACAAAGCGTTGCAGTTGCAGGCAGACGTGTTACTGCTTTATTTTCATAGCTAAAGCTATCAAGTGGGCTGAGCACATTTCAGAGGGTGTTTTCCCATAATAGAGAAGATAGGAAGCTAAGTTTGGGAATGGACACAAGACCCTGAAAAAACTTTGAACATACTGGGTGCGAGTGTTCAGTAAGCAAGCAAAGATGGGGAGCTATTGGAGAAGAGAAATAGGACTTTGACTTTTTGACTGACTGATTAAATGATTTGACGAGTCTCTTATTCAGTGCTTTTATTTATGTCTCTGTAGAGATGGTGGTTCCATCCCCTGCTTTGAATTATTGTCATAATAAATGATAATTGGAATTGGAATGATTTGTCTGAATTAATTTAGTTCACATCAGACATTGGCCACAATAGTTACTAAAAAGAAGTTGGATGCTGCAAGTAAAAACTGAATTAACACTGGTGTGGGGCTGAAAAGTGACAACACAGTGGCCGCATTTCTGCTGGACTGGTCATTATTGGTTTTGCTTTGTTTGGGGGGCATTTATCTTTCATGTTAAACAGTGCACATTGCAATGTGTGTTGTGTTTTGGAGGAGTGGCCTTGAAAAGAACTCAGAATGAACATGTGGGAATTCTTGTTTGGCTACTTTCAAAATTGAGCTTCCTCTTGCTGGTTTTTCCAGGATCACCAACCTTACCTTTAAACGAGAGGGAAAAAGCAGAATGTGGCTGTGTTGTGGTGAGCCCAGCAAACTCTGAGGGATTTTGTAGGCTATGATAGGCAATATTATTAACCTTAAGTAGCAAAGTTTTATTTGTAAACTAAATACTGAGTAATAAATAACTTCCTCTGAACTGTCAATCACAGCTAGGTAGATGAAATACTTCATTTTTCGGTTAAATCATATTTAAATTTCAAGAAAACCCCCTGTTAAATTTTTTTTAGATAGATAGATAGATAGATAGAAATACTTTATTAATCCCAATCTGGGAAATTGCATGGTTTCAGCAGCGGTTCACACTCAATATCAAGCACACATACCAATAAATAAAATAGATAACTCACTAAAAATATAAAAATATAAAACAAAATAAAAAAATACGTTAAAAGTTAAAAACAAACCCAACACAATCAAGTACATATACATAATCACATGATGAATGAAACATATGCAAATCTATACAAAGCAGATTCAGTATACAATTGATGTCAATCCAGGAATCGTCTAATGCTCCAAGATGATGTGTTGTACAAATTAATGGAGTAAGGCAGGAAAGATTTCCTATAACGTGCTTTACAGCAACGAAGCTGTCTAAATCTTTTAGAGAAGGAGCTCTGCTGTCTATCAAGCACAAATCGGAGAGGATGGTCAG